CTAATATCCGGAATTATCATACTTGTTATTATTTCTATCTTTCCGGATATTATCACCTCTATCTACCGGTAATATAAAAAACAGTTTTGTGGTACCGTACCCTGTATTAGGGCACTTGTACGTTCATTAGATGCACCAACACATGGGCACCAATATTCACATTGAAGATTTGCCTGTGACATTGTCACCGTTTGACAGGAACTGATAACATTTAATTGCCAGCCGAATAGTACCAACGATGCCAATGAATAAACCTTTAAAATGAATGATTGCGTGAAATGAAACAAATGTCATTTCCCACGTGACGTTAACTCGTACGTGACGTTAACTTAACTCTATCCTAGTATTAATTATTATGAATGCAACCTTTCGTTGATTATTAATATACAATTCAAATTAATAGTTTTTAAATTCAAACCTTTATCGCTTTTACTTTCTTGTATTTTAATATAATAATTTAATATAAATAAAATAGAAACTTAAATACTATTTTATTATATATTAAAGAAATTAAAGCTGAAAAAATATAAAAAAAAAGATTGTTATGAGTTTTTGGAATGGAAAAAATTTTTCAATAAATCAAAACATCTCATTAATTAAGAATTAAAAATTTTCTTAAATGTAAAATTTCAGTGATTGTATGAATTTGCTAACATTTGAATGAAATTTAAATAGGTGCAATTTTATATTTTATTTGTTAAAAAAAAAAAAAAGGAAAAATGAAAGTTAATACTTTTTTTCTTTTTGCTATGACAAAATAAACAAAAATTAACTGACCAATGACCATAAGCCAACAGTGACTGTACCATCTTTAATGTTCCAGCAAAAACACGGATTGATTGCCATACTTCTTTACTTTTTAATTGTAACAATAATTAATTAATAGTAGTAATATCATCGAAATAGGAATATTATTTATTTGGCAAATACTCATTGATAGTCTGAAATAAAATTTAAAATATAATTTTTGATAACATTTTGAAATATTAATACCTAAATGTAATAATAAACTTACATAACTCTGTTATTTTGCATTGAAAAAATTAACTAATTAGCATCAATTAAGAAGAAAAATGAATAAATGATAAGAATTTCATTATCAAATACCATTTATCACCACTGATCAATCATGAAGCAAAATTTTGGAATAGCAGAAATTAATAATTATGCAAGAATTAATTAATGCTAAATTAGCTTAGTAATGACTTTATGATTGAGATAAGATAAAAGATAAAATTGTGATTAAAGTAAAATAATGAAATATTATAATACTCTATTCTTAGCTATTATTACTTTTATAATATCGTCGATGAAATGCTACAAAATGAGAATATCAAATGATAAATAAGTTTTGGAGATGAAAAGTAAACAAACGATCAGAAATGTCAAGCAAATTAAACATTTTCTAATTTAATTCTTCTTCGATTAGCTTACTAAATAGACAGGTATGTAAAGGAAAAAGAGAGAGTGTACAGGTGTGCTACACAGTTCACACCTGTTTGCTTGCATTTTTATCAATAATGCATGGCATGCATATACCAATGCAAATTGCAATGAGTCAACTTTACAATGGATGAATCATCCAAAAAAAGAAAAAGAAATAAATTATTGCAAATAAAATGAAATAAAAACAATTGTATACAGGTAAAAATAAGAATTACACCTGAATAGAAATGATAATTTTATTAACATTTTTAACATTACCCACTGTAAATGAATCATATTTTCAAGATTGAAAAGTTATAAATTTTATAAAAATTACTAATTATGAAATTGTTATAAAATAAAACATTTTTTTATAATTTATTATTAAAAAAAAAAAAAAAAAAAAAATTATAAAAATATTAGCAATGATACATCGTAGATTGCTTTTTTTTTTTTTTTTTAATTTGAAACGTTCAAAACATACGTGTAAAATATTACGTATGTTGAGATAAATATCAATGAAATATACGTAAGTTAATAAAAATAAAATATTTACTTTCAATGCCTTATTTGACGTTACGTTATTTGACGTTACGTGAAGTTAATTTTGTTTGTAAAAAAAAGAAAGAAAAAGCTTAATATGGCATAAAATATGCATAAAGAATGATGACATTATGATATGATTGATATAAAAAGAAGAAATGTAAAGAGAGAGAGAGAGAGAGAGAGAGAGAGGGACGGGGAGAGGGAGAGAAGAAAGAAAATGATAGAAAATTTTTTAGTTATCGTTAATGATAACAGAATGATAATAACTACTTATCATTGCTAATCAAAGAGACAAGAGAGCAGTATTGCTAATGGTTGTTAATTTGATTCAGCATTATATGTAATCAAAAATTAAATAACAAATATTTACCAATTTTATATCATAAAAAGTTAGAGAAGGTATAAGAAGAAAAAAAAAGACATTTGTAAGCAACTATTTAATGATAATGAAAATTTGTAAATTTTATAAAATTACACAAATTTAGTATAATCATTAATTTTAATAGGATGAGATTAAAGATTAGAGGTAGAAGTTTTTTTTTGAGTTATAAAGGAAAAAAAATATTGTTTATTACTATTAATGTTATTACAAATTATTATTATTATTATTATAAAATTATTACTATTATTATTATTATTATGGTTATTATTGTGTAAATTGACGTAGCATATGAAACTTTTACTTAATGTTAACATAAAATATAATTTTTTTTTTTTATTGTGCAATTATAAATTCATCAAAAATTTATTAATCATATGCCAAATTTGATGATCTAAACAAATAAAAAATTCATTTTTCCAATTCTTAGATTTGAAATAATTATCTATATTTAATTACTATAAAGTAAGTAACATATGCCAATTGTAAAAATAGTTGTAATTTTTTGTAATTTTGCTAATCAAACCATAAATTAATAAACAAAAAAAAGTTGAAAGGAAAATGAAAAAAAATTTTTGACATAGCTATAAATGCTAATAATTTGAAGAGGTAAATGAATTTTTCCATACTATATGAAATGAGCAAATATCAACGATAAATTTAGAAATTAGCTTGGTGCAATAGTTTGCATATTGAGAGGAGACAGTTTGTATTTGTGACAGAGAAGACAGAATAAGAAAGTTGTCACCCACTCAATCGATGGATTATTTAAATAATTCCGATGAAGTGACAGGTTCCACTAAATTCTGCTCTCTATCTCAGGTATAAATACCTGTTGTCCGTCCCATTAGCTTGTGTCAACATGGGTTAGATGATGTGACATTGTTGTGGCCGGAAAAGATTTTAAATTGTATTAATCAATTCTTTTGAAGTATTTCTTGAAATATTTAAAATTTCATTTATATCACTTATTTTTCATTTTTTATTCGTTTATCTTATTCATCCGTTTATTTGCGGTGATTTTCCGGAATGATGAATTATTAGTATTTTATTTATAGCATACGGCTATATCATTATTAAACAATATAATAATTGAGGAAAAAATCTATAGTCCAGGAAATAAACTGAAACTGAAAATTTCTTCCTAATCAGGAAATTTTCTTTAATCCTTAAATTTATCAATGATTACAAAGACACATAAATAGACCATTATTTATTAATAATATCAGATAAACAAAACAATCGGGCAGTTATATCGTAATTTGACAAGCGCTTGATTAGAGTTTAACAAATTTCAAGTATTTCATTCGAAATTACAAGCGAAGAAATAATATTGAAAGAGAATTTAAAATAACATAAATAAAATTTACTTGGCAAAAATTAGGCAGTGCAAACATAAACAAATTTTAGATATTGTTTTCAAAATTCTACAAAATTTCATTTTTATTACTAATAACTCATTTTTAAATGAGTACATCTATTGTTTGATAACTGAAATTGACGTATAAAACTTTTGTTGACATAGAAACACGTGAGGCAATGATATACATACATAGTTAAAGTTACGTGTACTGAAACTTGAAAAATACATCAAAAAGATTGCAGCAAAACTTACGTTTACTTTCATATTGTCTCACGCATTTTAACAATTTGAGTAAATATCATTTTATTTGAAGTGAGCAGAATTAGGCAGATTGAAGATAATTTGGAAAGAAATAAAAATAATATGGCAGCAGGAAAGATAGAAAATGGAAGCAATAAAAAACAAACATTTCGTTCAGAGAGTGATGCAAACAATGCAAAGAGTAAATAAGTTCTTATTAATTATTTAAAAATTTTATAAAAATTGAACAAAATTAAAATTTAGTCAATCATTTTCATAAACAAGAAAAATACCAAAAAAAAAAAAAAAAAAAAGCAAGCGAAAGCATCGGAATTATTAAATGATAATATCGGAATCATAATAAAATGGCAGTATGAAATTCATTTTGTTCATTATGATATAAAAATTGTTCAAATTAGAAAAGAAAAATGAAATTAAAATTTCTGCAAAATTTGTTAATCCTAATAGTTTCTCATTTTTTGCATATTTTCTTTCCGGAAAGATAAACTTTTTTTGTTGGAAATAATTTTTGTTTGATTGGTACAGGAAATAGCTCAAAAGCGTTCATACAAAGATCACATAAGAACAAATGAATTTTCAATGGAAAGATAGAGACAAATGTGCAATAAAAAAAAATTTAGAAAAAAAATAAACATAAAAAATCTATATCGATTTCGTTATAAATTTAATAATAGCAATAATAATATTATTTGTTATTAATATCTTTCATTATTGTTATCATTAGTATTATCAGAAATGATCTTCCAATCATTACTATTGGTATTTTTTATTGTTTTTTATTACTATTTATTATCGATTATTTATTGTTTATTACTTGTTATTATTTTTAATTTATCATTTATTTATTATTAATTATTTATTTATTACTCATTACTATTTGTTACTTATTATTATGACATGCTGTGATTATTTGACAAAATTCTTCATCATATTAAAAGTTATTCCATTTAATATTTATAAACTAAAAACAAATTTCTACAAAAATAACTCATGATTTTGCAAATTAGCAGAGGACATCATCCACATCTAATAGTAACTTGTCTCATGTGATTTGGTCATAGTTGACATTTCATTGCGTCTTCGTTCCACTCCACCATGTCCATATTCTGCTGGCATGAAATCATGTCGTGTAGAAAGCTGTAAAATTTTAATTTCATTTAATTGAAGACTAACTTTTTCATCAATTCAAACCAGACATTTTATCATTATTTAAAATAAAAATTAAATATTGCTGCAAAAAATCAAATATTAAAAAAAAAAAAAAATCAGGTATTACTGTAAAAAATCAAGTACTACTGTAAAAAATGAAGTATTACTGTAGAAAATGAAATATTCATATATACATAATGAACTTTTCATCAATTTAATAAGGCTGATTATTCTTGGGTTATTATCAATTTTTAAATGTCTCCTTTAATGACAATATATCATTTCAGTTTCTTGCAAACTCACCTAAATATACCGCTCTACGTTAGACTATTAATATATCCTTTTATTAATACAGCAAATAGTTACTTATCCAAATTATTCTCAATAGAATAAAATTTAACTAATTTAATCACTCATTTAACATGATCAATCGTATTTATTTCAATATATTTATACGTAATTCTGTCTGATTAACAGTACTGCATGAGATATTCAATGATAACAGAAATAAATCAAGCATTACTGTAATAAATTACAGTAACTTTGTAATAAATTACTGTAACTTCATTATAATTAATTTAATTAAAAAAAAAGGAACCTTAGTTGTTCTATCAAAAACAGCGCCATCAATTTCATCCTCTTGACTATATGCTTCTTTATCATCGTAATCATCTGCCTAAAATGAATGATAGAATCAATTGATAATGATTGTCTGTAAAAATTATGCATTTATTACTATTACAGTTATTGTAAATTACTGTAAATTACCTTTGTCATCTGCATAACTAATTAATTAATAAATTAATGTGTAGATGAACGGTTATTCAAATTATTGAACATTAAAAGTATAACAGTTCAATCAACCACTTAACCATAGTTTTTGCATGAGACTAAAATGATACAATTAGGTAGGAGTATGACAGTTGTATGTGACATTTGTTAGATATTTGATTGATTTTAATTGAATTGCAAATAATTAACAGGCTGTTGAGAACAATAACTTACGATTATTGTTATCAAAATTTGTCAGAAGATATGTCTTAAAAATTGAAACATTTTTATATTCATTCAAAATTTTGATAAATATCAAGAATGAAATTATACGACAGAAAATAGTACCATTTGACGAGTAGTTCGGGTAGCTGTGTATTCACGTGATCCACTTTCACGTATTGTACCTCTTCCACTTCCATCTATTCGTGATGTTGATTCGCTCCTTGGATACTGTTCGCCTGCATGTTGTTCCGATTCGATTTCAATCGGTGGTCGAAGAAACTTGAAATTTAGACAAATATTTCATCTAAGAACAACATAAGAGAACAGTTGAGAATTTTTATAAAGAAGCAAATTGCAGGACAAAAGATCAACATAAAGGTACTATTAAAGGTATATTTCTTAAAAATTATTTAAAATAAGCTACGGCGATACCTGTGAATGTCCACCATCACCTGCGCTACTGCTAGCTGTTGCAGTAACTTCATAAATTGCTTGTCCAGTTTCCGGATCATGATAAATGGTCTTTTTAATTTCATGTGTTGTGATGTCGGTAATAACTCGTCTTTCGAATTGAACTGACGAACCAGATGATTCACCGGAAATGGAACCTCCATCATCTAAGTAACGCTGTAACTGACGGCTACTTACTTCCGCTGGAGCAGTATCATCGACCTCAAATAAAACATTTTTTATCACTGAAAAGATAAACGATTAATATCTTTTAAAAAGTGATAATAAAATTAAAAAAAAATTTAAAGTTAGTAAAATTCATCAATTACAATCATAAAATCATGATTATTTTTGAGCCTGAAAGTTATATTTACCTCACGTCGTTTTAGTTTAGCACGTGGAATGGAATAGTAATCAGAACTAAGAATCTCTCGACCACTTCCAATACTTGTTTCTGGTTTTCGTCGGAAACATCTAAAAAAAATATTTAAAAATTATTACAAATTTAACACTTTTGTAATTATGTGAAAAGATGAAAGATCATTTTTATACTATTTTCTCGGTCTTTTCGAAATTTTTTCTTTTTTTTTTTTACATAGAAAATTATGTTCATAATTAAGTGAAGTATATGACACATACCGAAGTCTCGAGCAGAAGTACATGCAAAGACAAAGTGACAAAAGTAATAGTAAAACAGCCAAGATCAGGAAGAGTAATAGCAGTGTCTTAGATGGTTCAATCTCACAAAATTCTCCAGTATAACCACCAACACATGAACATGTCACATTTTTTGTCGCTTCATTATATATGCAATCACCATGACCATTACATAAGCCACACAATTGTGCTGCACATATTCGACCAGGTTCACTTGGATTACCATCCAAATATCTATTAATTAAAACATTCTGTTAATTAAAATATTTATTCATTAAATATCCTCTGTGTGACCTTATGAAGTTGCGAGCTGTGCTATATGCTTCCGGTAGGATTTCTCAGATCAAACAAGTTTCAAGTGAAAGGTCAATCAAATTGTGTTTATGGATGAGATAAATTCATTTTTACCTTTAGGTGAATAATCTTAGGTGAATGACAATTCTCACTTCAAACTAAGGCAAGATAGCCGTGGAAAACTGTTCATCTACAACAAGGACACTCTAAACAAATCTACGAATTGAAAATTTTGCTAATATCATCCAAGCTTTCTCTCTTTAGCAACAGGTAGGAGACAGGTAGAAACAACAACAGGTTTAAGATGCACTGAAAGTCAAAGATCAGATTTTGCATGCAAGTGATCCAAGATTGACCTCGAGAATAACATTTCTTTTCGGTAGCATCCTGAATGACCAAGCAACCTTTTTCAAGGAGAGCAGCTTGTACTTACCAGTGCTTATAGTTGATGTCCTCAGTGTTCACAAATTGCCACTTGTCACCAGTCAATTTTGACATTGCTGCTTAATGAAATCTGCCTATATGAAGAAGACAGTCTCGAAGAAAATACGGAAACTTCTGATCAGATAATTGAAGCCTCCAAACTTAACTTATCAATTGGTCATTCCGGTCACATTATCCTCCTAAATCTTTTACTTCAAAAATAAGCAACATGCTGCTATCCACACATATATGCCCTAACCTTCAAACTGACCTCAAAGAAAAATTAAATTTTACACTGATCATTACTGTCTCATCTTTTATCCAAAGAATCCTCATAAAGTCTCATAATTCTGGGTGACTTCAATGCCAGAGCAAGAAAGGACTTTGAAACCTAACAATGCAAGACGTACTGTTGAAAGGTCATTTCGTGCTAGAAAGGTCATCTCGTGCTAGAGTTTTGCATAAACTCACGACCCAAGACATCCAAAAGATAGCCTAGAAAAAGATTTGGATGCATTCCAGATCCAAATATTGGCCAGTTGATTATATCTTAATGCGTAGTGTGTAGTTATAGCCGAATAATGTGCCTAGTACACAGTGTCAAACACCGCCATTTTGTGTGATGCAAGCTTAAGCTCAACTTCTAAGCCAAATCTAAAAGTGATGACATTCCAAGGAAGAAATTGAAAGTTAAAAAGTTTAGAATTGCTATAGTAAGAGAGAATTTCCAGATAAAACTTCAAATTAGACTTGCAGATCATTCGGCAGAATCTTTCCATGCAGCATTCTAGCAATTCATCAAAATCAAAGCATTTGGCAATACAAATTCAGAAACTGCCATCCAAGAAAGAAGAATTACTTGTCAGTTATACCTAACTAATCCAACCTGTTTTGCAAGTAAGACAGCTTTTCATCTTGCAAACAAAAACTTCGGGAATATCAAGAGCAAATGGTGGGTTAATCTACGTAAAAGAATGCGCAAATATCCGAAACTATAGAGAATGATTCTATAAAGCTTTGAAATTAGTGTTCAAACAATTAGCATATAAGGTTCATAGGTCATATGTGATCTGCTCAAATGATTGGCTTTTTTGTCACAGAGATAAATTCTCTATTCTTAATCAATGGTTCGAGTAGTTTCAATGTCCCATCAAAATTAGTTTAAAAATTAACAATTCAGCACATCACTTAGTAATCATTAAAAATTGAGCTAGACATAACCCACAGCTTAAAAAGAAACTCTAATTTACCCATCCTTAGAGCCTCTAATTTACCCATCCCTAAAGCCATACAGCAATTGAAATATGACAAGAAATTTGGAATCTGAAAGCACAGAGGTTAAGTAATGTTTAAGTAAATAATGCATGACATTTATTAAAATCTATTAACATTGCTTACAATCGTAAAAAGTTAACAAGGAGAGAAATTAGAAAAATTTTCTTTTTTTCAAAACATCTAATTTAACTTTATTGAGAGTCTTTTTTTTTTTTTTAATTTACCCACCCATTCGGGCAATGACATTCATATCCAATTCGTAGGTCAGTACAAACTGCTACTGCACTGCAATTGGTTAGACCAAGAGCGCATTCGTTGACATCTTGCAGTAGTACACAATGTACCATTTCAGGATAATTAGGTTGATTTTGGGATAAACTGGGTCGAATATCCACGTAACCTTCTTTGCATACACATTGAGCCTTCAAAAAGAAAAAAAAAAAGTTAGCATAGTTTAAAGTTAAATTTCAATTAAAAAAAAAACGAAAAAATTTGCATAATTTAAAGTTAAATTTCAATTAAATTTCTCTCGTTGTCATCGTTTGATTTTCTTTCTTTTTTTTTATTAAATTTAATTTTATATCACTAAAAGTGGAAATTTAGTTTAACATAAAAATTTAAATAATGCATTCAAAGAATACTTCCATTTATAGTTTTTATAACTTCTCTGCAGCAATTATATCATCAATAACAATTCTAAATCATTTAAATCAAAGATTTTTTTTTTAAAAAAAAATATTTCAATCAAATTTAATTGTAAATAAATTGACTTCTGACCTCTCTTTCACCATTTTGACAGGTAGCATTTGCAGGACAAAAGTTGACATCAGAGCAATAATCAATATGACATACTGAACCAGGTAATTTTCCTGGTGGTGCTGCATTAACAAATGGTTTTATGCATTCACATCTGCAAATTAATTTTCTTTACATTCATACTTTTGCAAAAGTAAAATTAAATTTTTTATTTCCAAAAAAAAAAAATTCAAAAAAAAAAAAAGAGAAAGATTTTAAATGCGAAAATTTTTGAATATGTACTTCAAAATTGAAAGAGAAAAAAAAGAATTAAAATTAATAAATGTTTCAAACTTTGGGTTCTTGTATTTTAAAACAAAGAAATGAGTTTACCTGTACAGGTAATCTTCATCAATACATCGAGCATTCTCATCACATTCATTCCATTCTTTTCGTTCACATTCATTTACACCAGCATAACTTACACAATCACGTCCGGCTTTTGACGGATTCAGGTCACGATGTGTTTCCGGACATTGACATCTGCAAAAATTTCTGTTAACGTAACATTTGTTAACGTAACACGCACAAATGTAATTTTGCGCAAAATCAATAAAATTTTCAATTAAAATTTCCTTTGCTTTTTAAAATGGAAAAATTTTATTTACAATTTCAAAATTTGTAAATACTTTTTTTTAGAAATTATTCAAGTCAGTGAAATCCGGATTTTTTATCCGAATAGCACAATTTTGTTGCTTTTTTTTTTATTATTATCAATTTTTTCATTCATTATCGATTATTAATAATTATTAGTAATTATTGCTTTTTTGTCGAAAATTTAAGAAAAAAATTGCTGTAACCATATAATGTGAATGTTTCAGAAAAAAAAGGAAAACTTTTCTAATGTTAAAAACTATTTGTAACTATAAATAATTCATTAATATATATGAAAAAAAGTAATACTAATTTACAGGTATAATTAACTTACCTGTATCCGGTTGGAGTGGCAGTACACTTTGCATCCGGATGACAGTCACTTTTATAACAATTATCAAAAGGATTTGCTTGATATGGACTAATGAATTGTTTACTTTTACCAACCTGAAAATAAAAACTCTGTGTTTTTATCAACCTGAAAACAAAATGTGCCGGTATTATCTATTTCCCGGTAATTTATCAGACATATATTTCCGTAGAATTAACCTGGCCTATTTTAATTAATAATATCATATGAGGAGAGAATGTTACCAACTTCAAAATTATTCCGATGTGCAATATACTGCAAAAGTTCCGTAAAAACGCTTTCAGGTGATGCGACACTACCGCGTACAAAATTAACCGTAAAATTGTACAAAATTCCTTTATCCCATTGCTAGAATAAATAAATAAATCACTAAATTAAAGTTAAAGTAAAATTGAATTATAAGCAAAATGATTCAAAGAAAAAAAAAAAATTCTCGTCAATAAAATGTTAACATTTACTTTTTGTTAAACTATTCATTTTAAATATTTACAATTCTTTTGCTATAATTGCCATTTAGCCAAGAAAAAAAAAAACTAATATTTGAAAGTTTAAAAATATTTTAAAAGAATGTAAACAAATTAAAGTACGAAGAAGAAAAAATTTTTTTTTTAATTTAAAGAAAAATATTTACAAAAATTTGAATCATTGAAAAAATAAAATTTTTTTTAAATTCAAAAAAAAAAAAATTAATAAACCTTAATGAAATCACTTGGTCGAGCAATTTCGTTTACTTCAGCAACCACAAAACCATTTTTAAGCGATGTATTTGCATAACTTTCAGCAATACCTTTTTCAAATGCACTGACCAATTCTTTGTACTGGTCACTTTGTGGATTTCTTAAATTATCGTTGTAATTTAATTCTTCAGTATTCTGACGAATGACCAACAAAGGTAATGACCATGATTCAACCTGAAATTTACCAAAAAAAAAAAAGGTAAAAATTGAAATAAATGAATGAATGAATGATTAGGATAGAATTTTAAGTTAAAAAGAAAAAGCGTTATAATAGATCGAAAATTAAAATATATTTTCTAATTTTATAATTTTTGAATTTTTTTGCTTCAATTTATTATTCGAAAAAAGATTGCAATTGTTGGAATAATTTAGAATTAGTTAATTATCACTTAACAATCTTTAAATTATTTTCAACAAAATGTAATCAATTAGGAATTATTTTATATTAAAATATATTAATTTTCGTTTTTTTTTTTTTTTAAAAAAATTTACTGATACTATTTTCGGACGGTTTTTTCTTTTTTATCTCTATGATTTACAGTATGATTAAATTGTTTGATAGTAAAAAATTTTTTAAAAAGTAAAAAAAATTTTTAAATTTGTTTGATAGTAAAAGTAAATATAGTATGATTAGATTATTTGATAGTAAATTTTGACGTAATAAGTAAAATTAAGTTCTAATTTTTGATTGAATAAATACTAACATATACAAAAGATTGAGAAAAAAAAAATTATTTTAAAATTTAAAATAAAAATAATTATCAAAAATTGTCAAAGTAAATGTAGCATTTATAGTAAGTACTATAGTTGATATATTATTTGGTTGATATTAAAAGTAATTAAACAAATATTTCCATTTTGGTAAGAGAAAAAAAAAAAAAAAACAAATTGTTATATTTCTAATAAAAGAAGCAAATTCATTCTAAAATATTTGACTTTAATTAAAATTATTAATTATTCACGGATCGGTCGATAATGGAAAAAAAAAAGATTGATTTTATCACTTAAAGAATTTCATTTCTATAAAGTTACTTAATGATTAGTACAAGTATTACTTTAACTCTAAGCATTTATAATTTCACTTTAGGCTACTTTACTTTAATTCTAAAAATTTATAATTTCAACTTAGGCTAATTTACTTTAATTCTAGATAATTTCAACTTAGGCTACTTTACTCTAACTCTAAGAATTTGCAGTTTCAATTTAGCCCACTTTACTTTAATTATACTTCACTTTAAGAATTTGCAGTTTCAACTTAAGCTACTTTACTTTAACTCTAAGAATTTATAACTTCAATTTAAGCTATTTTTTTTTTGCTAAATAAGTGACAAAAGAAAAAAAAAAAGAAACTATCTAGGTAAATTTAAGCTAATCGATGGTAGAATCAATAATTTGATCACTCTAATTTCATCAATTATTTACTCAAAACTTTTAAAATATTTACCGGACGACATTTTTTTTCAGGACCTGAACGTTTTTGTCCAGGCGGACAAATACATAACTGATTCTCAGAACAAATTTCACCAAGTTCTTCCTGACATGCCGTATCACCACATGGTATACCTTTTTTCCTGAATTAAATTATAATTGCATAATTTGTTTTTTCTTTCACATAAAAAAAAAAAATCTAATTTTTAAGTGAAAAAAAGAAATCTTTCATTCCTGAAAAATCAACAAAAATAAATTCTACCGGCAAACCGTTCCGGGTTGTGATGGATTTTGATCGATATAAGGTGGAATACATTTGCATTGATATCCTTCTTCCGTATCAATACATTCTGCATTTTTATCACAATTGTTCAAATTTGATGATTGACATTCATTCACTACTGGAAAATAATTTGCAATTGTTAATTAATTAATAATTAATTAACGATAATTAGTGATAAACCTATCAAAGATTACTTTGTAATGAGTTATGCTTCATCGTTTGATAAGTTAAATTTTTCTAAATTTTACGCTTGATAAGTTAAAATTCACTAAATTTCACATTTGATAAATTAAATTTTGTGTTTGATAGATTAAATTTTACTAAATTTTGCGCCTGGTAAGCTCATTTTTACTAAATTTCACGTCCAATAAGCTAAGTTTCACTAAATTTTATGTTCGATAAGCTCAATTTTACTAAATTTCAAATTTGATAAGCTAAATTATTTCATATAATTTAGTCTTTTAATTTTTCATCAATTATCATATCAATTTTTAAATGTAATTCCTAATTCATTTCAAAAATAATATTAGTATTTTCTTTTTCTTTTTTTTTTTGCAAAAGTTTTTTGCTTATCATAAAAAATTTTCAAAAGAAAAAGAAAATCAAACAAATATATATATATCATTTCATTGATTATTTTACTTACTTTTGGCAATTTGATTTAAGTAAAAGAGAAAAGAAAAGGATAAAAAGTTTAAAAGTTCTTTTTAAATATTTCAAAAAACTTACTTAACTTGCAATCTGTTCCCGGTTTAGCCGGATTTCCATCACGATAACCAGTTTTACATACACATTCATAACCATCTTCACGATCTATACAATCCGCAAAACGACTACAATTGTTTAAATGTGAATTTGTACATTCATTTACCAACTGAAAATTTCAAAATTAAGCGTATATTTTTTACAAAAAAAAAAGGAAAATACGAGAAGAAATGGCTAATACTATTAAAATTATGCAAATAACAATAAAAAAAATAAAAAGATAAAATTAAAAAGTTAAAGTATAGTTTATATCATAAAGTTAATTTATATCTTATTGGAATTAAAAATAAGATAGAATAGATAGAATTAAGAATGAGATTGAATAAATAGATCATATTGACAATTACTTGCTACTAATTACTTGTCAACTTACTCATTAATTACTTATCAACTTACTTATTAATTACTTATCAACTTACTCATTAATTACTTATCAACTTACTCATTAATTACTTATCAACAACTTACAATGGAACATTTTCGCCCAGGCTTTTGACTATTCGGTGAAATATCCTTGGAATTAGGTGGACAAGTACAGGTATAACCCTCTTTTAAATCAGTACATGTAGCTGCTGGATCACAATCATTTAACGATGAATTTAAACATTCATTTACTAACTCTTTGCATATTCTTCCTGAAATATAAGTAATTAAGTTCCTGAAATATAAATAAGTTTCATTCTTTTATTATTCATCAAGAAATTTTATTAATTAAAAAGTGTCATATATTCAAAAAAAGGTTGTCAAGCATTGAAAATACCTGTCATATCATATTAATTATATATATAAAATAGTTGAATAAAAAGGAAATATCTATGATAAAGAAATGTCCTCAAGAAGAATAATATTAAATAATCCGAAATATAAATATAAACAACAAAAGGAGATCAATAATTTTGTAAAAAATTCGTAAAATTTGAAATTTATAAAATAGAAATTAACCAGGTCTAAGCAGATCCATATCACTATAACCATTACGACATGAACATGTATAACGTTCCGGTTTTGCAACTTCGGTACATGAAGCAGCCGGATGACAATCATGCTTTGATGGATTACTACAGATACGTTCTAAGCAAACACGACCTAAATATTTTTTTAATTTTACAAATTTACATTTAAAATTTCAACAATTAACAACTATGATAAATCAAAGTAATTAGCTAAATAATGAGGAAAAAAATTAAATTAAATTATTGTTTACTTTAACTAAATTAATTTGAAAGAAATATAAAACAGTTACTTTACTTTTTAGCATTTAATCACTTATCTTTAATCATTTCAAAGATAAAAGTACATGCAATAATTATTCAGAATAATTTATTTTATTTAAATCAAAAATGAAGACATATTATTTAAAAAAGAAAAATTATTTTATTCGAAAACTATCGTCTTATCTTTAAATAAAGTTACGACGATAGTTTCAATTTCATTAATGATAAAAAGAAATGATAAAATGACCTGGTTTACTTGGTTCAGGACTTTTATCAATGTAATCAGGTTCACAGACACAAATGTATTCATTGGTACCTTTTTCAATACATTTTGCATGCTTATCACAATCATTTTGATTCGTTATACAAAGGCGATTTTCTAAAAAAAAAAAAACTTTTAACAAAATTTTTGTATAAATAAACATTTTTAAAAGTTAATATAACTAATACAAACAATTATTTTTATGCTTAAATTTAAAATTAAAAATTTTAATAATGCAAATATCTTATTAAAAGAATAAACTATTAAATTAACAATTAAGATTGAATAAATTACTTATTAAATGATAGATGAAAATTTTGAGATAAGTTAAAATTCATCATTATCTATTAAAATAAATTATTTATTTCCAACCTGTCATATTATCTATAAACTATCAAATTTATGTAGAAATAAACATTAATTTTTTAAAACTAATATAACTAATACTACTTTTATAACTCTAAAAGAAAGTAAAACTTTTATACAATACCTTGTTGACAAATTCTTCATGGCTCATACAACTAACTTAACTCTAAAAACAGTAAACAAAATACCTTGTTGACAAATTCTTCAAGGCTCATACAACTAACTTAACTCTAAAAACAGTAAACAAAATACCTTGTTGACAAATTCTTCATGGCTCATACAACTAACTTAACTCTAAAAACAGTAAACAAAATACCTTGTTGACAAATTCTTCATGGCTCATACAACTAACTTAACTCTAAAAACAGTAAACAAAATACCTTGTTGACAAATTCTTCAAGGCTCATACAACTAACTTAACTCTAAAAACAGTAAACAAAATACCTTGTTGACAAATTCTTCATGGCTCATACAACTAACTTAACTCTAAAAACAGTAAACAAAATACCTTGTTGACAAATTCTGCCTGGATTTCGCATTTCATCGTGATCAATAAAGCCATCTTTGCATTGACATTTGTATCCATCCATTGTGTCAATACAAATTGCATTTTTATTACAGGTATTTAATGATTCATTAGCGCATTCATTAATCATTGGCTTACAATATGTGCCACCAAAATGTTGTGGATTTGGACTATAAAATAAACAACAAAAAATAAATAACAAATAAATAAATTTATCAAATTTTCAATTAGCATTTTTTTTTCTCATTAACAATTTATGTTTGTGTATATAATATAATTTAATAAAGAAAATTGAAAGATTGAAAGAAACTAAAAGTAATAATCAAAAAAAAATGAAAAGTGACAATTCAAAAAGAAAAAAAAACAGAAAAATAAAAATAAAAATGAGAAAGTGATAATCAAAAAATTAAAAAAGCGATGTTCAAAGTGATAATTTCAAATAATAAAAAATGAAAGTAAAAAAAAAAGGAGAAAAACTTTTATTGTCATATCTAATTATCAAATGTCACTTTAAAAAAAGAAAAAACTTTTTAAACTTTAAACTTATAATCTTTTTTTTTTTTTTTTGTTCTATTAATAAATTTAATAATATCTTAAATATTTAGAAAATTAAAATCTATAAAATAAATACCTGAAATCAACATAATTTTCTCTACATCGACATAAGAATCCTTTTGGTAAATTAATACAATCTGCATATTCTGAACAATTATGAATACCTTCGGAGCATTCATCTATTTCTATAATTAATTTAATTTTTATAAATGCATAGAAAATTGTTAACATTTATTTACAACATTATAATTAATTTCGATATGTCAAAAATTAGCCTAAATTTTTTGACAAGAAAAAGCTAATTTTTTAGAATTTAAAATATACATATATATATATATATATATATTTTTTTTAGTATTTAAAATATAAAAGAAAAAGCTAATTTTTTTAGAAATTTAAAAAAATAATAAAATTTAAAAAAATATAAAAAAATAATTTTAAAGTTCGTATCTCAAATCTCTGCTCTTTTTTTTTAGCTTAACCTGAAATAATACAATTGCATTGGCTATTTTTATAATTTGAAATTTTAGCAATTTCAATTATTTATTATTTATTTGAAGAAAATTGAACAAAAACATACGTTTCCGGCAAACTCTTCCGGGTTTTTGTGACTGATCCGGACTTTCATCGATATAACCATCCTTACATGTACAAATATATCCTTCATCTGTATCAATACAATTTGCATTATTATCACAATCATGCGTACCAGCAGCGCATTCATCCACCACTACAGCAATACGTCACGTCAAATTTCACGTTTCTAATATTACCCTTCATGTTTGTAATATTACCCTTTACGTTTCTAATATTGCCCTTCACGTTTCTGATATTACTCTTCACGTTTCTAGTATCACTTATTTACTCATTATTTAATTAATCAAATTTACATGTGATACATTTCACATACGTAGGATTTTTGAGATATTATCCTACGTTCACCTATTATTATTTTAGTAATATTATTATTAGTGATACTACTATTTAGTTTTTGAAAAATTTTCAATTTCAACGTTTCACCATTTGCATATAATTTGATTTTAATTCAGCTATAACTTACAACAAATCTGGGTGATAGGATGACGGATTTGATTAGCAGCACATTGACACGTGAATCCTCCGTGATCATCTGGTAAGCATTCTTCGTTTCGTCGTTGATCACAAGCATTTGGTAGGTATGGTTGACATGTTCCTCTTGGTTGACATTTACCACTTGAATTAATCACGTAGCCAGGCCTAAAATATTTACTTCACTTACTATATGTGTAATGCTAATACGTAAATGAAATCTAAATTGAAACGTGTAAAAATTTAAAATGAAGCAAGTTGACATACATACTACTTGTCATTGGCAAGCTGACATACGTACTACTCATATATTTCATTGGCAAGTTAACGTACGTACGACTCATATATTTCATTGGCAAGTTGACGTACGTACTACTCATATATTTCACTTGCAAGCTGACGTACGTACTACTCATATATTTCATTGGCAAGTTAACGTACGTACGACTCATATATTTCATTGGCAAGTTGACGTACGTACTACTTATATATTTCATTCGCAAGTTGACGTACGTACTACTCATATATTTCATTGGCAAGCTGACGTACGTACTACTCATATATTTCATTGGCAAGCTGACGTACGTACTACTCATATATTTCATTGGCAAGCTGACGTACGTACTACTTATATATTTCATTGGCAAGCTGACGTACGTACTACTTATATATTTCATTCGCAAGTTGACGTACGTACTACTCATATATTTCACTGGCAAGCTGACGTACGTACTACTCATATATTTCACTGGCAAGCTGACGTACGTACTACTCATATATTTCATTGGCAAGCTGACGTACGTACTACTCATATATTTCACTGGCAAGCTGACGTACGTACTACTCATATATTTCATTGGCAAGCTGACGTACGTACTACTCATATATTTCATTGGCAAGTTGACGTACGTAGTACTTAAAAATACCGCTGGAAAATTCACAAAAAAAAACTTTTTTCACTAAAAAAAAAATGTTTGCACCCTAATTTACTAACTTTTAAATATTCTACAAAAATAAAAAAAATTTGATTTTTTTTGTTACACTTCTCTCTAATTCATACTAACTCTTTTCCCTTACTTATCTTCATTACTACTTTATCTTTACAAACCTATCCTATTCTTATCACTTATTTATCAATTTTTATCAAATTTTCCTTAAATTTCAACTTAATAAAGAAAAAAAAAAAAAACGTACAAACATTGACAGACTCGTCTTCCGGTTAATGACATGATACAATGTTCATTTTGTTTACACGGAATCATATTTCCGCATTCATTTGGCATTATCCCAGGCATCATCGATGGTTTATGTGTAGTCGCTAAGAGAAAGGAAAAAAAACAAAGAAATAATTTAAAATTTTTCTTGAAATTCAAAAATTATTGGAAAAAATTCTACTTATAATACGTATTTAAAATGTGAAAAAAAAAATTACAATTAAGTTTTTAAAAATAAAAATAAAAATAAGCAAAATTATTTGAATAACTTACTACAAGCACCAGATTTTTGATCTCGTACTGTATTAGGTGGACAGATACAACGATGATTACCGTGTGGTGTCATCTGGCATATTTCAGGACTTGGACATGAGGAGATAATTTGTGGATTACATAAAGCACCACCACAAACCTAGAAAAACCGATAGTTTAAAATTTAAAAAATAAAATTTAGTAATGTCCATTTGATGAGTGATTATTTATTAGTTAAAAAATTTTCAAATTTAAACTTTTTCTTTTTTATATCTACTGTTACCTTCCAGTATAGATTACACTATAAAAATAAATAATTTCATCGTACGTAATTCAAAGTTTTATTTTAACTTTAGATTACGTGAAATCTAAAGTACGTGAAATTATAGCAACTTAGAAATTGTACGAATACTAAAATACTTCAAATTGTAGAAATGATCAAAATTTGTAATCAAAGTAATTAAATATCTATATCACATATTCTATATGAGTATGTATGTATCTTAATTTAAAGTATACCTATACTCAAATGAATATACCTATATTTAAATAAGTATACCTGTACTTAGATGAGTATGCCTATACTTAGATGAGTAGATATCTATACTTAAATAAGTATACCTGTACTTAGATGAGTAGATATCTATACTTAAATAAGTATACCTGTACTTAGATGAGTAGATACCTATACTTAAATAAGTATACCTGTACTTAGATGAGTAGATATCTATACTTAAATAAGTATACCTGTACTTAGATGAGTAGATATCTATACTTAAATAAGTATACCTGTACTTAGATGAGTAGATACGTATACTTAAATAAGTATACCTGTACTTAGATGAGTAGAGACCTATACTTAAATAAGTATAGCTGTACTTAAAGGAGTATAGCTATACTTGAAGGGGTATACCTATACTTAAATGAGTATACCTATACTTAAATAAGTATACCTATACTTGAAATCTATACTTATACCCGTGTAATTGGATGTTGTTCAAATGGCATCGGACAGGAACAACATGGTTTTCCACTTTTTAATGCACATATTTGATTAAGCGATCGATCACATCCTGCATGCGAGTGCAATACGCAATTTTCTGAAATTTAATTTCTTTCAAAAAAAAAAAGAAAAAAAACTTTCAATTCTAAAATATAATTTAAAAAATAATAAATTAATTTCAAGCAAAACATCAACAAAAATTTAATACATTTGTTAAATATGCATTGAGAAAATTTTTCAAGCAAATAATAAAGGTATTAAAAAAAAAGTAAATAAATAAATAAATAAAAAATTTTGCCACAGCATTTCCACATTATTTTTCATTAAATTATTCACATAAGCAACGATTGTTTAAAATAAACAAAAAAAAAATGTGCCAATTAAAATAGTTGACAAAATGTATAATTTATCATACAATTAATTATTCTCTCTTAATTAAATCAAACAGGAAAAATTTTGAATTTGATAAAAAGTAATATTATTAATACAATTAATTAATTAATTAATAATTAATAATGCTAGCATCAATTTACATATACATATAAAAAAAAATATAGGTTTTTTTGCTATCAATTAACAAATTTTTAGCATAGTTTTTTAGATTCGTTTGAATAAATTTAATTGTTTATCAAAAGGTAAAATATTGTTAACACTATCTTCTGATAAGAAGATAGTGTTAACAAATGCAAAATTAAATCCAATTTCATTTTCATTGATAAAATGCATAAAGATGAGAAGTTCCTTTTTTTTAAAAATAAACTTTGACATTTTAATTTTCAAAAAGAAAAAAGAAAAGTGAAATGGTTAGTAGCAAAATATATTTATATCACGCATCGATATTTAATTTCCTTTTTTTTTTTTTTTCAAATAAACTTTGACATTTTAATTTTCAAAAAAAGAAAAGTGAAATGGTTAGTAGCAAAAATTTCACGCATAGATATTTTAATTAATTTAAAACAAATCAAATCAAATTGAACAAAGATTAAAATGCACTTCAATCTTGCTAATTATATTATGTGTGTGTGTGTGTTTAATTAATGATATTAACATAACAAATTTATTCAAAATAATTTATCAGTTATTTTCAAAAAAATAAAAATTAAAAAAAAAAAAAGAAGGAATTTAACAAAGTATTCTTTCCTTCTTTTTTTCTTTCTTTTAATTTTTCAGGCTCTATAAATTATTCTTTCTTTTTTTTTTTTTTTCAAAAAAATTATTTAATTTACATATACTGTTAGCAATTAATTTTTATCATTTAAAATATAATTTACTATTTAAAATATATTTAAAATTGTTATCAATTAATTTATCATTTAAAATATACAAAAAAAAAAATAAATTTTTTTTTTTCAAAAATAAGCCTGAAAAATTTATTGAAATTATAAAATATCCCACACCCTAACCTTCTGCGCCTGTAACCAATGCAGTAGATAATAATAATAATAATAGCAACAGCGAAGAACATTTTGCTCCATCATAGATTTTTATAAACAATACAAATAATATTAATATAATATCTGCAATGCTTTTTTTAATTTTTATCCTTTTACACTTTTTTGTTTTAAATTTACCTTTGATAATAAATTAATAATTAAGTTCAAATTTATGTTATTGAGAAAGAAAAATAAACTTAAAAACTTAATAAAATGAAAAAAAAAATGAAATTTTATAAGGAGGATTAAAAAAAAAAAAATTTAATTAATAATTTTATTTGTTTGTTTATTTTTTTGCTTTTTCAAAAATTTAAAATAAAAAATTAACCTTTAAATATTGCTGGTGATGAAATATTAACTGGACAGGTTGCTTTCTGAATTATACTTCTCAAACGTGCATTCAAATCTTTAAATGTATTTACAACGAATGTTCGACTTTTTGAACCTAAAAAAAAAAGTAACATTTTAAGATTTAATAAAATTTTAATGCAAATTGATCAAAATAATTTTAATAATATTTAATTAAAATAAAAAAAAAATATTCATAAAGTATATTAAATAATTGAATATATAAAATTTAAATTATGATAAATTGCTAAATTTTAATTATAATTTACTAAATAAATGAAACAAAAACAATAATTATATTTTTTGTTGAATTAAAAATCAAAAAAAAAAAAAAAAATTTGTTAACTTATTAATACTAATATTTTACAATTAAAATATTTCATTATTTGAAATTTTTGCTAAAATATAATTAAAATAAAACATTAAATGATAAATATATTATTAATGTAATAATAAATGAAATTAATAATTTAATTTAGATGCAATTTTAAATGAATGATCAGTGCATAGTTAGATCTAAAAGTAATTAAAGTAGAAAAAAAAAAGAAAACTAAAAAAAAATGAAATAATTAAAAGATAATTAAATTAATTAAAGTTACCAGAAATCAATTCTAATTCATCATATAATACATGCTCTGTGACACCAACTGCAAATAATTTAATTCCTTTCAATTTTGCATTTTCAACAGCGCTTGTCACACTATCCTGTGACCTTCCATCTGTGATAATGATAACAATTTGTGATATTCCACTATCACCTGGCCGACCACCGAGATTTTCAGTGAATGCTTTATCAGTAACATATTGTATTGCATAACCTGTTCTAGTTGCACCTTTCAGATACCTGAAAATAAAACATTTCCTTTTATCATATCAATATTATATGAAATGGATTGTATCAAAAAGAAATCAAATCTGCTACTTCCTGATGATGATAAGTTTGATAATAGTTGTAGAGATTATTGATAAGTTTAGTATTACTTGTAGAGATTATGAATGTATTAATAAGTTTGATATTACTTGTAGGGATCAGTGATAAGCTTAATATCACTTTTAGAGATCATTAATGTATTAATAAGTCTGATATTATTTGTAGAGATTATTGATAAGTTTAGTATTACTTGTAGAGATTATGAATGTATTAATAAGTTTGATATTATTTGCAGCGAATTTTTAATATGTTTAAAAGAATATTAATGTATTTTTTTTAGCTTTTTTTTTCGAGTTTCTTTTTTTTTTGTGTAAAACTATAAATCAAGTTAATTAAATTAAATAATAAATTAACTTACTCAATATTACTAATAGCATCTCTTAATTGCTGTATCGATAAACATTGATTTAAGTAAATTTCATGTCTAATAACATCCGAGAATTGTACTACAGCTACACGCGTTTGTTCCGATGAAATATCAAATAAATCAATGAAATCTTTCACAAAACGAAGTATCTTTAAAATAAAATTAAATTATTTTAAAGTAAAATAAAAATTCTCATAATTAATACAACTTATATAGTAACAATAATCTCGAAGCACTAATAATTTTTCATTTTTTTAAAAACGGTTTAACAAATTTTTAAAATATAAGTGTAATTTTGAAATAACCTCGTTCTGAAAAACTTTTACACCAATAGAAGTACTACCATCGATTAGGAAAACAAGATCGCTTGGTTGAACAGGGCTTAAAGCATTATACATTTTAATTTGAAATTAACATAAAATTGATTCTTGAATTTCAAAAAAAAAAAAAAAAACTTGAAAGAATGATTATTATCTATTTTAGAATTCAAATACAAAATTTGAATTTAAATTAAAACTTATTGAATTGAGAGAAATTGATAAAAATTTACTATCAAGCCCTTATTAAATTTCATTCTGGTACCTTTAAAAATTTGCGATAATATTTTAATATCAATAAATTAAGTATGCAAACGTGTAGCATACGTATTTTACCAATTTTTATAAATTAAAAATGCAATTTATAATAATATGAAATAAAAAATAGTAAATAAATAAACAATAACCCAAGTTCTAATTTAAAATACTAATTTATTTGTTTACTTATTTATTTATTTTTTTTTGCTTACCAATAAGTTTGCAAAGTACATACACGTCCAGCTGGTAGCTTAGCATTATTGGAAACATCAAAATATCCGGTAGCACAAATACAGGTATAATTATCCATTAATGTTACACAATCTGCATTTTCATCGCACAAATTAGTTAATCGATTAGCACAATGATTCAATGCTGTAAATTATTTTTAATTTTTTAAATATATAAAATTGATGGAAATGTAAATTTAGAAATGTATAATTTAATTTTAACATAATTTTTACATAATTTAATAATAATTTTTCAATATAATTTAATCTTTTTGTATAATTTATAATTTTTTTTTATAATTTTATAATTTCAATATAATTTAATTTTTATAATTTAATTTTAAAATATTTTAATATGTATATTCCAAACATTGTGTACAACGACGTCCAGGTTTTAAGCCATAACGTGATGAAACATCGATATATTCAGCATTACATTTGCATAAATATGATTCTAACGTATCAGTACACGTAGCGTACGGTGAACAATCATGTTTATTCGTACCACATTCATTAATTACTGTAATATCATAATAATTGCTTAAAAAATGTTTTAAAAAATTTTTTTTTTGAATTTAATTATAATTTATTCAATATTTTTTTATTAATATTAATCTTTTTTTGAAAAAAGAAATTATTATTTATTTATTTTTTATAACTTTATTTTTATTTACTTATTCAATAGTTATTATTTTTGATTGAAAATTAATAAAGTTTACATTGAATGCATTTTCTTCCCGGTAATCGTACCGGATCAGGTGACATATCTAAGAAACCAGGTGGACATTGACATTTGTATCCAACACATGTATTCGAACAAATTGCAGCCAAATCGCAATCATTTTGTTGTTTACAATGATTTATTGTTTGATTGAATACTTTAAAAAAGAATTAAATTAGTATAATTGTTCGAGAATGAAATGACAAAATTCAAAATTTACAATCATTGGTAAACTATTTATTTTTTTAATAAAAAATAAATGTGTCGTAATTCATTAATAATTGTATAAATTTTGTAAATAAACAAAATGTTTAATAAATATATGCTAGAAATATGATTAAAATGTTAAATAATTTTTAGAATTTATTAAATTAAAATTTTTTTTCTTTAGCATTTTAGTAGAATTTATTTCATTTCATAAAGAACTTACTTATGCATTGTCCATGAGAAGTAATTAAGGTACCAGGTAGTAAACAATGACATAAATGTGGTACATGGCTATTATTTAAACATGTTTGATTCATTGAACAATTTGATTGAAATGTTGGATAGAATGGAAATTGCTAAAATAGAATGAAATATTATTTTAAAAATTATTTCAAAATTTGCAATAAAAAAAAAAATTTAATTTTTTATTATTATCAGTTTAAAGTTATTTGTCAAAAAGAAAAACAAAAAATGAATTTAAATTAAAAAGAAAACAAAAAAAAAAAAAAAAAAAAAGGAAAACCATTTGTTGTGAACTGATAATTTGAGGCTCTTTTGGCGCAATACATTGACGCCCTGGATAATGACTTATACTTACGCTAGTATCAATAAATCCTTCCTTGCATTTGCATATATACCTGAAATTAACAATTAAATGAAAGTAATTAATCATACTTAATTATATGAATTATTAAATTAGTAACGAAGTAGAGAGTAAGTTAATCATACTCACTTATATGAATTAATAAAATTAGTAACAAAGTAAAGAGTAAGTTAATTGTACGTATATGAATTATCAAATAATTAAATAATTTATTGGTAATTAGTTTTTAGTAAAAAAAAAAATGTTAACATATAATATACTTCCTATTATCAGTTGCTATCACTATAGTTATCATTAATTATTTAAAGATAGAGATTGATAAACAGTAATAATTAATACTTTAACTTTTTTTAATAATTTTTTGCAAGCGATGAAATTATTATTTACAATTAACATAATTACTGTTAAAATAGGACAACGTATCGAATTTGATTACTTAAAAATCTTTAAAATCTTCAAATAGTCCATACTTCATTAATTTATTAATTGCGCAATGTTTTTTAAATTTTTTTTTTAAAATATTTGATGCAAAAATCAACGAAACATTAATTTTTTAATAAAATATCTTTCCGTATTTATTGATAACTTAGTTATTACTTTTTCAAATGAATGAATTATTTGATATTATTAGAAAAGATTATTGGAATAAAATTATTGGAATTTAAATGCTTTTTGGTTTATGTCTCACAGATTCAAATTCTCGCAACAGTGATTGATTAATTAATTGATTGAATGATTGATTGATTGATCAACTGATAATGAAAGTGATCTTTTGTTCTGTTTTGTGATAGAAATTATAAAACAACAATGGGTTTTGTATTATTATCATCTCAGAAATGTATTAAAATGTTTATTATTTTCTTTGAAATTAATTTTATCAAGTGATAAAATTAAGCAATTGATAAAGCAAGTGATAAAAAATTAACAATGTAAAAGAGCACAAGAGAGAAACGAAGAGAGAGAGAGAGAGAGGGAAAGGGAGAGAGAGATCTATCTCAATGTTAGTTAATGTTTTTTAACTTTTTTTATACTGCAAATATTTCTTTATAATATTATATGGCTTAAGTATACGTATGAGATTTAATTAATAATTAAGAATGATAATTTAATTTAATTGTTGTCAATTCATTTCAATTTTTTCATTAAGAAATAATATGCATCGAATAAATTAATTCAAAATTTTATGAATTAAATTGATAACGAATTAAATTTTGAGAAAAAAATTTTTTATGAAATGAGATTTGTGTATAAAATTGAAGTTTTAAAAAAAAAAAATTTAATTTTTCTCAAACTTTAAGTTTAATTTTTTGAATGAGAAAAAAAAAAAGTTGAAAATGAAAATTATTCACCCAATCGGTTGATCAATGCAATCAGCATTAGGTGAGCAATCATTTGTTGTTCCATTACTACATTCATCGACATTTTCAACACACTAAAAATAAAAAACAAATTATTTTATGCAAAAATTATTAAACTAATTAAGTAATTAAATATAATAAATTAGTTGTGATAAGTTATCAGAGTAAATTATTACTACAATCATTATCAAAATGATAAATTTTAATGTTGAAATAATTCTATTAGTTATTGTTATGATGAATTATCAAAGTAAATTAGTAATTATAATCATTGTTAAGATAAATTTCAAACTTGAAATGATTCTATTAATTACTATCATGATAAGTTATCAGAGTAAGTTAGTAAACTACATTCATTATTAAGATGATAAATTTTAAATTTGAAATAATTTTTTGAAAACAGTTCACTTCAAACTAATGAATCATAGCATCTAAATAATATGCCAAACCATACCTTCCTTCCAGGTAATAAAGAGTAATGGCTGCTAATATCAATAAATCCAGGATTACAAATACAGGTAAAACTTTCAGGTATATCGTGACAAGTGGCATTTTCGGAACAATCAATATTGTAAGTGATAGGATCAGCACATTCATTGATATCTTTTTCACATATTCTACCTGGTTTAAATTCTTCATTCTCTGATAAATCAACAAAACCATCCAAGCACTGGCAGGTGTAACCTTCAATCTAAAATATTTCAAAAATTAATTAATTAATTAATTTGTAAAATGTATAAGCATATATTATATTTGTATAAAGTTTATGTAATATATTTAAAATAAACAATTTACTTTATTTTTATTTTTTTTTTTTTTTTCAAAACTCATATTAATGTTTTATCTAAAGAAAAAAAGATTTTTAGAAAAGTGTGACAATATATGTGACATATTTTATACTAATTATATTAAATTTAAATTTTTAAAACATATTTTACACTAATTATATTAAATTTAAATTTTTGAAAAAATAATATACATCTAAAGTTTGTTTTAAGATAAAGTTCGTTTTTTTCTCTCTCCAAATTTATTATTTTATTCTTTAAAATCTTTTTAAGCATTAATTTATAGTTGAAAGTATTAGACAGGGGAAAATCTAGAATTATTCAAGAGAGAGAGAGAGGGAGGGAGAGAGAGGGGAGGAGAAAAAAATTGTTGTTAAAAAAAAAGAATTCTACTGATTATTTTATATTTGTAAAAACTTTTAAGAAAAAAATTTTTTAATTTATCATAAAATTTAGGGAAATATTAACAATTATTTATTATTAAATAAGATATGCGTTATAAAATCTAACTATAATTTTATCAAATTTATCATAGAAAGTATTAATTGGGCCTAAAATATAAGTAATGAGTTATTCTGGTTAATTGGTGAATAAACTTTCACGTACGCCTAACTTCAATGCATACTTAACTTTTCACGTTTTTTGATAGCGTAATTAATTAACACTTTTATAGCACATATGTTTATTGAAGAAAAATTCTTTTGTAAAACTACAATTAAAGTATCAAAATCAAATTATACATTAAATATTTTTGTCTTACTTTATTTTTTGTATATTATTTTCCTTATTTGTTGTTTTAAATATTTGATATGAAATTTCAAAATTTTTGAATTATTATTTTATTTAAGTTTTATTTACAAAATGAATTTATGATAAATTTTTGCTCTAATATTGATGCATTTTAAGATATTTAAACAAAATAATTTATTAAAAATTGAAATTTAATTTAACTTTTTTTTTAGTCTAATTTTTTTGTTTTTTTTTCTTTTTTTTTTTTTTTTTTTTTGGTAAATTTTTAATTTAATAAGAATCACACGAATGATTATTTCTAATATATCAATAAAAATTCCAGGAAAATTGTATAATTTTTAAAGAATTGGACAATTCTCATTAACCGATAATTTTATATTATTACTTCTGGTATCTACACTATCCATGCTACTTTTGGGAAGCATAAAAAAGAACACAAAGTAATATATAGAAGAGATTGCAAGCTAATAGTTTCCTAGAAAAAAATTTTTTTTTAAAAGTAGTCGGAAAAGTAAAAGAGAAACAATGCCTGTACTTAAATACAAAATGATCTTTTTTGTCAGTGTTGTGTAGAGAGGACAGTAGGCTTGATTTTCACACGGGGACGAAAATGGCAGTTAGGGCAGTAGTCCCGTGATCATCTCCGTTCCTTTGTGTCTCTTCTGTTTACACACAGTTTTCTTTCTTTTTTTTTTTCTGTAATTTGATTGAGGTGCTTCCCTATTGAGCAGATATTTTTATGCCATTGATGCTTTTTACCAATAGAATTACAAAGTCATTTGCTGCTGTAATGAGGTTAATTTGATATATTTAGTGGTATAGTATTACTTTCACTGTTCTTAATTTTCTTGTAACTGTAAACACGTAAACATAATTCTAAGTGTAACTGTGAACACGTAAACATAATTCTAAGTGTAACTGTAAACACGTAAACATAATTCTAAGTGTAACTGTGAACACGTAAACATAATTCTAAGTGTAACTGTAAACACGTAAACATAATTCTAAGTGTAACTGTGAACACGTAAACATAATTCTAAGTGTAACTGTGAACATGTAAACATAATTCTAAGTGTAACTGTGAACACGTAAACATAATTCTAAGTGTAACTGTGAACACGTAAACATAATTCTAAGTGTAACTGTGAACACGTAAACATAGTTCTAAGTGTAACTGTAAACACGTAAACATAATTCTAAGTGTAACTGTGAACACGTAAACATAATTCTAAGTGTAACTGTGAACACGTAAACATAATTCTAAGTGTAACTGTGAACATGTAAACATAATTCTAAGTGTAACTGTGAACACGTAAACATAATTCTAAGTGTAACTGTGAACACGTAAACATAATTCTAAGTGTAACTGTGAACACGTAAACATAATTCTAAGTGTAACTGTGAACATGTAAACATAATTCTAAGTGTAACTGTGAACACGTAAACATAATTCTAAGTGTAACTGTGAACACGTAAACATAATTCTAAGTGTAACTGTGAACACGTAAACATAATTCTAAGTGTAACTGTGAACACGTAAACATAATTCTAAGTGTAACTGTGAACACGTAAACATAATTCTAAGTGTAACTGTAAACACGTAAACATAATTCTAAGTGTAACTGTGAACACGTAAACATAATTCTAAGTGTAACTGTGAACATGTAAACATAATTCTAAGTGTAACTGTGAACACGTAAACATAATTCTAAGTGTAACTGTGAACACGTAAACATAATTCTAAGTGTAACAAACATAATTCTAAGTGTAACTGTGAACACGTAAACATAATTCTAAGTGTAACTGTGAACACGTAAACATAATTCTAAGTGTAACTGTGAACACGTAAACATAATTCTAAGTGTAACTGTGAACACGTAAACATAATTCTAAGTGTAACTGTGAACATGTAAACATAATTCTAAGTGTAACTGTGAACACGTAAACATAATTCTAAGTGTAACTGTGAACACCTAAGTGTCCGTCTCCTTCCTCTCGAGGTCTTGCTTGCCTATCTAATTGCCAATAGAAGGAGCTCGCCAACATTGCCAACAACACTAAATAAGTTATTAAGTTATCGCCAACGAATTGCTAGCATTGCATATGTTAATCCGAAGCAGTTCTTCAGTTATGTGAGGAAAACTTTGTCAAAATGCTCGTCTCATCAATTCCAACTTGCTCCTGCATTTCTTCAACTTTCTCCGTAAGTTTGGCAATGTTGGCGAGCTCCTATTGGCAATTAGATTGGCACCAGTTTCGGATGATTATCGATTTGAATTATTCAAGTGGTATTTATTACTGTGTAATAAAATTAAAAAATAAAATAACATTCTCTTTGCACATTTTAATATAAACTGAATAGTTAGGAATAAGGTTTCCGTAAAGCGACACGGTTCCTGTGGTGTCTTGTGGACAATTCTCATTGTCCGATAATTTCATATTATTACTTCTGGTAATTCTAAAATTATGCAATTATTCAACTAAAAAATTAATTATTTTTTTTGGAATGAAATTTAATATCAAATATAATTACTTTTATAATCTATAAAGGAAGAAATTTTACAATTTTAAGGGAATTTTATTATATTTTTCTGAACTTATTTATTTAATAATGTTTTATTTTTTATTAATCAATAATCAATGTAGCTGATTAATCGTTATATTTCTTTACCCTTTAAATTTTCACTTCAATATTTATAATTTTAATAAAACAAAAAAAAACAAAAAAAAAAGAAGGAAAGGAAAACAAGAAAAAATGTGAGATCTTACTTAGTAATTTTGTTTTATTAAAGAAAAAAAAAAAGAGAAAACCAGTTTTTAATGGACAAATAATATTTGTTTTTCAAAATGATACATACCTACCTACCTATTACTTATAGTTTAAAACAAAAACAAAAAAAAAAAAAAAGAAGAAAAGAAATTAAAAATTCTTAACTACAACTAAAAAACATTCATTAAATATATTAGATATAAAATAATTTAAAAAATTTTTTATTTAAACGAATTTTTTTTGTTATATATTTATTAATTTAATGTAATTCAGAATTAACTTTTTTTTTTTATTAAATTTATTCAACAATTATAAATATGTAGTTTTCTTTTCTTTTCTCTTTCATTTATTTAAATTGTTGAATTTTTCTTTAATCAAAAAGAAGAAATAACAGTCGAACCTTATCAATGCATATTGCATTTTGATGACAGTCATTAAGGCGTTCCTCAGCGCATTCATCAATTACAATACATCGTCCATCTGCGCTTCGTGTCACATTTTGCGGACATTGACAGCTATAAGCGCCAGAACGAAATATGCATACTTCATACTTACTTTGATTGCATGCTAGCGGATCATCAACATAACATTCAAATGGTTGTGCTGCAAAAAATAAAATAATATTTTTTTTTTCCTCTTTTTTTTTTAAATAATAAAATTTTTTTCTAGTTTTTGTCAAAAAAAAAAAGCATTTAATATTTGAATTATTATTTTAAATCTCACTTATCCAAATATAAGTTTTAAATTTTAAGTTAGATTTTGTAAAAGAACGAAAAAAAACTTTTAACTTTATTATATTTTCTTTCTATTTATAAAGTTCAAAATAAAAATTTAATTTCATTTTTCAAGTGTTTTTTTTTTTTGTTTTTATTGTGTTGTTATGAATATTTTATTTTATTTATATAAAAATATACGCTGAAAATTAGTCGAAAAATTGTTAATTATTAATTAGTTAAGTAATAAGTTTGGTAGTAAGTTAAATTAAATAATAGTTAATTAAAATAGCTAATTAAGTAATGAATATTAAGTAAAAATTAAGTAATAAATTAAGCAACAATTAAATAAATGAATTGATTTTAATGATAAAATTATTATATAATCAATTATACTATTATTTGCTAATGTTTCTGCGCTGAGATGGAAAACGCATCGAGCAATAAACAACAATGCTGGCCATAAGTCCCGTGGTTTCATTTGCAACTCTGATCACCTGGAAATTAGTAAAATTTAAATTATTGATTGATTGATTGGTTAATTTTTTTGAAATATCATTTAATAAAATTCCAATGGATTATGCCCAAAAATAAAAAATTGAAATAAACGCGAGAATGTGCCAAAGTTTTTTTTTTCGCTTAATTTCCATTTTTAGCTAATAAAAGTATTATTCGCTTTCATCACGTAACACAAATATTGCGTAAACAATTTTATCAAAAATAATAAGATTAAAATTAATACTAAATCAAATAAATTATTAACTAAAATTCAAACGTTGAATGAAACAAGCGAATATTTATTTTATTACACGTATGAAATATTTTATTACACGTCACAAATACGTCAATCAAGTGTAATATGTGATTTCAATAAAACTTAAAAATATCCAAGCAAAAAAAAATAGAAATCATATAGTAGTAAATTAAGTAATAAAACAATTTACGAAAGTGTACACGTGAAATACGTCAAACAATAAAAGATAGTAAAAAAAAAAATTATTTTCATAAATATTAAAAAATATTTGTCATCAATGTGTCTTATAATAATAAATGTAATTATTTTGTTGAATAATTAAGTAAAATAATTAATGTTTGAAAAAATTTTTTTTCTTAATTTATGAGAAAAATTTGCAATAAAATATTGAAATTATTTAATTATTCAATTTAAACTAGCAATGCATGCATCTAATTTTCTTTTTTTTCAATTAATATTATTCATATTTACTTATTTAGTATTACTTATGCTTATTTTCAAATAATTATCAGTTATTTTTACTAATCACTTTTTATTTGCTAATATTTAAAATTTTAGTATTTCAATGAAATTATTAAATCGCATCAAATAAATGAAAATTTTCAATGAAATATAAAATTTCAAAATTCTATAACATTTGAAAAAGTAAGAAAAGAAGTAAAAAAGCGACGATCAATTCATTATATTTACATATGTGATTAATTTAATTAAAACTATTAAAGCAAACTAATAATTATTTATATTGTCACATTTTTTTTTTAACTTAAAATTTCTCTAATTTGCTAAATTTTTTGTTGACATATTTGCTTTTTTTTAAAAAAAAAGAAATGAAAATGAATAAATAATATACCAGAAACTTCAAGGAATGAAAGAAATTATTTACTTAATTACTCATTTCATTTATTACTTCACTAAATTAGCACAATCAATTTTATTTGCTTAATTACTTAATTGATTCAATGAATTTGCATACATACATAAAATATGCTTTAAGTACATTTGCGCCAGTGCTACTTTTTTCTTTTACTCTTTGAAATTTTTATCTTTTCATTCAACAAATTATATATAACAAAAATTAATGAAAACAGTAATATAATATATTGTTAATTTTTAAAAAATAAAATAAAATTCTTTCTTTATTTTTTTTTTTTGTTTCTATTACTTTATTTAATTTTTATTTAATAATTCAAATGAAAGATAAAAAATTTAAATGAAATTAAAATAAGCAAAACTATCGTTATTGTTGGTAATTCATTTATTTGAAAAACTTTTCGGAGAGATATTTGAGAGTAATTTCAAAAATATGCATTTAAATAAATTTATTTGAAATGATTTATTATTCAATTCTTTTTGTATTATTAAACACATACCTAATTCTGTTTTTTATTTTTTCAACTAAATTTTATTTTAATAGAACTGGTAATCATTCAATAAAATAGTAATTTTTTTTAAAAAAAAAAAAAAAAAAACTCACTTGTAATTTAAAATTTTTTAATTAATCAATTTTGCAGTCAAAAAAGATTGTAAAATTTCCTTTTTTTTTTTTTGTAATTCATAGAATTTCCTTTTTTTTTTTTCTCTTTGTAAATGTTTAAATTAATGTTGAAAATTTTGTATGATTTCAAAAATTTATATAATTTGGTGAAATATTTTTATGTCAAAATGAATTTGCTCCTTATCAATTGATTAGAAATTGATGTTAAATTATAAACTAAAAAATTTATTTAAATTGCTTGATAATACATACAAAGTTTGTTTGAGTAATTTTAGAATTTTTAATTTTGTAAATTTTCAATGAAACATAGACATAAGTGAAAATTTAATTGTTTTTTAAAATTGAAATATATTCAGAAACTCAATGAATTACTCATTCAGAATTTAAAATAAATTTGAAAATAAAAAAGCTAAATTACTTTTATTATTAAAATATTATGTCAACAAAAAAAAAAGTCACAGCAAACAGAGTGAAATTATTAAAAGTTAGAAATTCCACAAATTTGAAAATTAAAAAAAATCTGTTAAGTTTTTTTCTTTTTTTTTTTTTTTTTTGAAAGTATGACTAATTCAATGATTAATTTTTAACATGATGCATTCTTCAATTTTTGATTTACTTTAAATGTATTTATATTTGTGTGTGTGTGTGTGTGTTTTTAATTTTGAATTATTAATTTTTAATTTGAATTATTAAAGTTACTTCAAATATATTTAAATACATTCTTTTAAATTTAAGTTACTCCAAATATACTCAAATATACTCTTTTAAATTTATTCAACTTAAATTATCCCAAATTTAAATTATTCATCAGTAATAATTTTAAATAATTTCAAATATATAAAATGTCTTTTCTCCCCCTTTTTTTTTGTTTTTTTTTTAATAACATGCAAATGTCAATTACAAAAAATAATTCAATTTGCTTTTTTCTTTTCATTATTGTAGCAATTAAAAACTAAAATCTATTAAAAACTTTGTAACTTATAAAAGTAAACAAAAAATTTAGAGAATTAAAAATGATTTGAGAATTTTTATTGTTAAAATGAAATGAAAAAGATGAAAATTAATGAGAAAAGAAAAAAAAAAAAGAAACTCTAATGTATATTAAATTAAAATTACAAAATTTTACAATGATAAAATGAAGATGAAAAAGGAATGAAATGATAAATTCAAATGAATGAATAAATGAATGAATGTATGATTGAAACATGTTTTGAATAATATTTTCCAGCAAAATTTCCAGTTGAACATATATAATACAAACAACCACAAATTAACCAATCATTTCATTCATACCTGTTATTTACCTGCCCAATTTAATAATGAAACAATGAGCAATACAATGTCAGATAAACTGATGTAATATGAATTGAATAATGCAACTTATGTTTAATTAATTTATTTAATTAATAGAATTTATATCCATTCATCCTATTTTAGCTCTAACAGAATTTTTATTTTATATTAATAAAAAATTTCAAATTTCACAATAATTTAATATAATTTATGAACATTTCCCTTATTCTTTTTTAAATTTTAAATTGCTGATAATATGTAGATATTATCAGCAATTTAACTTTCATATCATACAATTTTGCAATGCTTAAAATTATCAACTGTAATAATTGATAAAGAAAATTTCTAAATGCCATGATAAAAATTTATCATCTTTATCAAATTAATTTTTTTTTTTTTTTTTTTGAAGAACATAAAATTTACTTTATCAAATATTTATATTTGATTTGTTTTTAGAAATAAAATGTAAATGAAATTTGATTATGTACAAAAATTTGAATATATATATTTTTTTGTAATAAAAATGAAAAAATTGACGTTTAATTAGTTTATTGAACAAAAATAATAGTACAAAAATTTTTAAAATACAAAATAAGAAATTCATAAAATGCTTTAAAAAAAAATTATTCTATAATTTAAATTTAAGAGAAAAAAAAATGGAAGAAAGAAAAAAAGAAGGAAAAATGAAAAGAAATATACCTATAGTTACTGCTGTTTATTGAAATCATTTAATTTTTCAAAACAGGTTTGCATATTTTTTTTTTTTTTGCTTTATGAATAGTTCATTGGTGAATCATAAAAAAAGAAAAAACGAAAATAAATTATTTGAGGAAAGAATTAAATACTCATTAAACTGATATATTTTAAATCATGCAAAAATTTCTAGAAGTAGAACAAATATAGTTCAAAGGTCAAAAACATTTTGCAAATATTTTTTTTCACTTTTCTCTTTTATAAAACAAAAAAAAAAAAAAAAACGAAGCCTAAATTACTTGAAAAAAGAATTAAATACTCATTAAACTGATATATTTTAAATCATGCAAAAATTTCTAGAAGTAGAACAAATATAGTTCAAAGGTCAAAAACATTTTGCAAATAATCTTTTTCACTTTTCTCTCCTATTTAAAATCATTTAGTTATCCTTGGTAAAAATTTGAATTGTCAATTGCTCAAAGATGACAATAATTTTCAAAATGAATTAATGATGTTTGATCTGAAATGTTAACAAAGGAATATTATGCAAACATTAAAATGTTAAAATAATAAAATGAAAATGAAAATGAAAAAAAAAAAATTAGTAAAAAAGATTTAAGTAATACTAAGAAGAAAAAAAATTTTTCCATTTTTTCCAAAAACATACCATTAAATATACAAGAAATGAAATAATAACAGTGAAAGAGAGAAGTTATCTTTCCTTTCTTCCTTCCAATTTTTTTTTTCTATTGTCAATCCGGTTTTCCGTCTTTTTTACACACCGAAAAAAAAAAAAAAAACCAGAAAAAAGGAAAATGGAAGAAGGAAAAGTTGCAGTAATGGTAAATGAATGAAATGAGCATTTTACAAATCAAATCATTATTGCATTACTTCATTTTATAAATTATATTTGTATAAAATGGAATTAAAAATTTTTCAAATAAATTATTTTAATTTTTTTGAAAATTTTCAAATTTTAAAATGTTACATTTTTATTTGAAATTAACATAATTTTCTTTTTTTTTTTTTTTTTGTCCTAATTCTATTTATTAAATTATTTATTTCTTTAATTTGTTTTAATTAAAAATAAAAAAAATATATTAATTAATGAATATGAGAATGAAATGACAAAATAACTTATAATTTTTTGATTTTAATTAAATCATTACTCATTCATTTCTTTTTTTTTGAATTAGATTTAAATCAAACATTGATGATTTCAATGATTTTAATTTAAATTAGATTT